GCGTGCGGCCCGCCGCCGCGCTCCAGTCGGCCTTGCAGCGCACGTTGTCGCGGAGGTCTTGCGCCGCGCCGCGAGCGATAGATGTCGAAGAATGGAGGTGAAGGTGAACGAATACTGCCAATCGATTGTAGTTTATGTCTTAAAGGATAATGATTTGTAGGGTTAAATGATTTCAAAATCTTGTGTCCTAAGTATTGTATGTATAGTATGGGTACCGGTGTGTACGGTACCGCGGCCGGCGTGGCCGGGCGAGCGCCGCGCGGCCACGCCAGCCGCGGCCGTCAGGTGAATGTTTCCCCCCGGGGTGGAGATGATGGATACAAACTGTGTTCTGTAGTGTACCGAGCGACAGGGCGTTGTCTAGATAGGTTTGCATTGTCCGCGGCCGCCGCGCCGCTCGCCCCGGGCCGCGCCTCGGCCGAGCGGCACGGCGGCCGCGATCTTATTAGGCGTGAACTTTGTTCGCGAGGAGCTAAGTAAAAAAAAATAGATTGCAATATGAATTGTGGTGTAGGTGTATTGGTGACGGCATATTGGGTGTTGTGTATGGAGAGAGCACCTCGGCGTGGAGGTAGGCGCGCGATGTCGCAGGATGACTGGTGACGTTTCTAAAATGTTTTATCTCCACCGTGTTCGTGAGTGACGCGTTTTTGTTTAAACAGATATTCATTAAAACATTGAAGCGACAATTAGAAAGCACCCAATATGCGCTGATAGTTTGGTAACTTTGATATCGTAAAGAATGGAACTGTGGGACTGAGGCGGCTCATCAGATGAGGTTAAAGAGTTTTCGATTTGTTTTCAAAATTGTCGGCAGTCGTGTGAGACACGGCGCGAAGAGACTGTATCGGTACGCGTAGCGCGGCGCACTCGCCGCCCGCCGCCCGCCGCCCGCCGCCCGCTTTGGCGGAGCTGGCCCGAGCTGGCCCGCGCTGGCTCGTGCTGGCCCTTGCGGCGGCAGCGGCGAGCGCGCCGCGACATTTTGTATCCAAAGATTGTAATGTGTGATGTAACTTCCTATAGGTTTATTATTATAGTATTTTATATACTTGTTGTTTTTCTATTGTTTTTCACTAGCTGGTATGAAATATTTCGAATATCGACAGATCTCCTGGTTGAATTATATTGACGTGTTATCAAGTTTAGAAAGCGCAGGCGAGCGCCGCTTCGCCGCCGCCCCCGCCCCCGCCCCGGCCCCGCCGGCAGCAGTGACATCGCTTGGTTGAGTATCAAATAGGGCGAGGCGGGGCGGGGGCGGGGGCGAAGCGGCGCACCTCGCTACTTATGTTACGTTGGTTGGGAGTTGAGAGAGCGCGGGGCGGGGGCGGAGGCCGACGAGTCGCCCCGCCCGCCCCCGCCCCGCGCACCGGACGGCAAGGGCGCAGTCAAACTGCCGCCAGATGGTGCTTGTGTGTACTTACGTCGGATATATATTATTTCTATCGTATTTCTAAAATAACATTTTGTACGCTTATTTATTTTTGTAAAATCGATTGACACTAAAAACTCGTATCTTGGCAGTTGAGGGAATTTTTGTGATTTTTTTTGTCTCGACTTATTTGTAATCGCACCGAAGTGTCCCGGCCGCGGCGCGCTGTTGCCGTGCTGTGCGCGCCGCGGCCGGGGCGCCGGCGCGGCGAGGGAGAGAGAGAGAGAAGTAGAGAGAAAGGGAGAGGACGCGCTCGACATACACAAGGCGGAATATTGGTGCGCGATTGCGACGCGCGGTGTGCCGTAGGAAAGTTTTACGATAAATGGTGAAAAAATAATAAATTACAAAAAAACGAAATGTCTTATTTTATTTGATGTTGAAAATTATATACTTTTTCCTTTCAAGATAAATCTTTTCCCACATTTTCTCATTCACAGTGGTAGTGCCCGCTTTAACATCTTAGCACGAATGGGCCGGCACGCCCGGTGTAATACCACGACCACACAGAAGACAGGCGTGAAATGGAAGCAATTCCATGTTTCGTCTGATGAGTGTGGTGCCGGAGGCCTAATTTAAGTCCCTTTCTCTTTACCACCCTTTTCTTATAAGAAGAGGTTGGGAAGAGGAAGTGGATTTGACGGCGGAGGAGATGCGTAGGAAGGGGAAATGTTTATGTTTATGTGCGTCTCCTCCTCTGTCGTATAAGGGTAGGCAACGCATCTGCAATTGCGGATGTCTATGGGCAGCGGTCGCTTCGCCATTTTGGCAGTTTCAGGTGGCCGCTTGCTCGTTTGCCACCTTATGTTATAAAAAAAAAAATCTATTTGGGTCAATAGATTCGACTTTATGACGAACTTAAATGTAAGGTTTGTGTTACTGGCGAGAAAATCTAACCTTAAAAAGGTGGTGATAGCGGTTACTGTTCTTTAATTGCATTGATGAGTTTCAAAGTAGCACAGTCGGTCATACGACATCTACAGCGAATATTAGGAAATGTCTGTTTAAGGTTTTTTACATTTCCGTTTTGTGGACAAAAGATGGCGCTCTTCGAAGACAGAAACTATGACAAACCTGTAGATTTTTTATTTGTATAACAATAGATGGCGCTTATTCTAAGCCAGCGACTGTAGGAAAATTTGTATATTGTTTACTTAGATAACAATAGATGGTGCTATTTCTAAGCCAGTGACTAAAACACTAACATGTAGATTGTTTATTTGTATAACAATAGATGGCGTTTATTCTAAGCCAGCGACTGTAGGAAAATTTGTAAATTGTTTATTTAGATAACAATAGATGGTGCTATTTCTAAGCCAGTGACTAAAACACTAACATGTAGATTGTTTAATTGGATAACAATAGATGGCGCTATAATTAAAAAAATAATTTAACCAAAATAACTGAATCATGTGCATTGCATCTCATCATCGTTATCTTATACGAAAACAAAGGTAAAGTTTTTGTGACGTGTGACGAACAACTAATTAAAAAATCTACTGAATTAGTTTAATACCCAAAAATAATACTTTAAGAAAAAAAACAGTCCTTTTGCTACAAAAAGCTCCGTGAAATTAAGGGTTAATTATAATTTGAGATATTAAGGAAGACGAATATTTTGTTCGGGAGAAGCAGACAATCATTTCTGTCTTTGTGTTCTAATGAGTCGTCTTGTTACTTTAAGTAATGATTTTTTTGTTCTTGATATTAAAACCTGTTATATTTAATATGATTTGTCTTACGTCTCGTAAGGTAGCACTTTACTTGTGATGCCCAGAGCGACATGTTCGAGTGAGGCAAGCGATGCGGTGTCGCGGGGCTGGGGCGGGGGCGGGGGCGGGAGACGCTTTGATCTCCCGCCCCGGCGTGCTCTCACTTCTGCTTATTTGCCTATTAAAGGATTTATTTAATTGAATTGACTCTCGACTCCCCGACAGAGACGACTGCGCCACGACAAAGTTATCCGACACGTTTTCTCTTAATCAAGATCTGATTGATTATTGAGCCGATGTAAGAAAACAGCACTTACCTACTTTGTGATGATACTTACATGAGAGAGATGAGATATAACATGAGAATGTGGGGCTCGCGGTACTACACTATAATACTCGTATAATAATAACGACAGGTATTCATATATTGTTGATGTCAGTTGCAGACCAGTTAGACGTGTCTAATTGTTGTAACAACATGATTGTAATTGATGCCCATTTATTTATAATATAATTCAGATATTTATGTATTCATATTTACATAATAAAACAAGGATCCATTAAAATGCGATAAAACAACAAACGGCGACATCAAAAGAGAGTTTAACACAAAAAAACACCTTCGGCTTGTAGCACCTCCCCCGCGACCTGACAATTAATGCGGAGTGGTAGAGCCGGCGCAGCATCAAAGAGAGCTGACTGCGGCGGTATTAGCATTGCAGATGTAGCGGGGGGAGGGGGGGGGGTCACGGCAGCTGCAAGCCGAGGTGCCAGCCTTCACACCACACAGACAACGAGGTGTCAGCAGGGGATCGACATGCACGCCACTTGAACATGTGACATGGTGCAAATTAAGATTCAAGAAGACTAACAATTATTGATTGTTTTACTTATTATGAATTTCTATACAATTTGTAACATTTTTATTCATAAATACACGAGTAAAAACATAATAATTATGCTAGTAAATAATATTTCTAGTTTTGTTTGAATAAATTTTGCGAGAGTACAAGTGTTACGTTTTTTTATTATAATTAAAGAATCTCGTTTGTTTTATTGAAGCAAACAGTAATCAATGAAGAGCCCTCGTGCTTGAGGCCGCGCCACCCCGCCCCCCGCGACACTCCGGCACTCCGGCACTCCGGCACTCCGGCACTCCGGCACGCATGGCCGCCGCTAGCTTTGATTGATATCAAGATGTTTATAAAAACAGAATCAAAGGGTACATCACAATTACTCTGACATCTAAGAAGCGCCGGACGCGGTGATACTTCAAGTGTTAGGGGAAAACACCGATTTCACTTTGATTTTCTTTCCTATTAACAATATGTTGATTTTATCTTATGTGATATTTCTACATTGTTAATTCAGTCCTGTTGTTCTTTGTAAACTTTATGTAACAAAAAACTCTCAGGTAAATTGACTTAAGTTTAGTTAGATCCTCTTTTCATTATTAGTGCATGCGTACACCTTTGACTAAACTATCGCACAACTGTCGTGCGATTCTTTAATCAAAGGTATGCGCCCGCTGTTATAGCAATAAAATCTAAATATTATACAAAGTAACACGCTAAGGAAATCAGGTAATTTTGTGACTTGTGACTGAACATTTAACTGGGGGGTCTTTAACTGTTTGCGAGCGTCTGGTCAAGTCCATCTACGGTTTTATAAAATGCAAGATAATGTTAGTAAGCATTATATGCAGCGAAAATTATAAGCCTATGATAATATTTAATTGAATTTCATTTTCTATAAACTATCTTGTATTTTGTTTTAAAATATTTCAAGCCACTTTTTTATCAGAAGAAAGCAAACAAGCGTCCGGGATCACGGAGAAACATCGTCGTCCATGGACATCCACAACAATGGACTAGATTCGTTTATTTTATGTAAAAATGTAGGTTTTACCATTTTCCTATTAAATTCGGTGAAACTGTCTGAATTCTGTAGCTGCTCTGTAGATCAACACACAAAGCGGAGCGCGACTGGCAAGCGTCGGGCAAACACGTCGCCAGACTAACCTAATGAGAGCGAGGGAAAAGGCACTATACGTGTCTAGCGTGCTGGACTGAGATAACCGTATATGGCGGACGAAAGCGCAATAAGCGCTATACAAAGCGCGAGTGTGACAGACTTATGCGGCGTAGTCGTGCTAGAGCGAGAAGTGCGCAGGTGCTCAGTGTTGCCCGGTGAATAATTTAGACGCGACCGCCCTTTCGCGAGCTCTCAGCGTCGATGCGCACACGGTGTTGCTACATGTTTGTTTTAAATATGACCGGGTTTTAATAATTAATTCGGGGAGAAAACATATACCAATACAAAACTGTTTTAAAATTACTTGTATGTTCGTCAATTGTCCATTGATTTGATTGTGATCGAAAATTTACATAACTAATTACATATATTTCTTTACATTTTAATGATTTATTTATGG